GGAAGAGGGCAGGAGCCCACAGGCTGCCCTCTCCCCCTTTTTTAAAAATATATATTTTTTTAAAAATCACGAAAGGGGCACGCCTCGGTGCAAGCAGCCAGTGGCCACTTGTGCCATTTACACCATTGCCAGAGGGCAGCAGAACTGTGTCCTTGAGAGAAAAATCCACAGCTGAGACAGGAAATCATGTTTCCCTCAAGCACCCTTTAAAAGAACGGGCTCTCCCCTTTTCCAGGGGGTTTCCCTTGACTTCTCACAGGAAGTCTCATTTTTAAACTTGAAGTGATGGTGGGGTGGGACAGGGGAACTGGGGGTCCAGCCATTTCATGCACCAGCTTTTTTCACCTCTGGATTGTAATTTCACCATGGATCAAATCCTCCATGTCTGTTGAACCTCGGCTGTGTTCCTGGTCAATATTTCCCCATTGCAAAGTCTCGGCACAAATCAGATGCAAGCAAACATCTCCAAGCATCATGCATTTTGCAAGGTAAAAGGTGGGGTTTGAAATGTTTATTTGGCATGATAATGTGTTAAAAACAACTCAAAACCCAGCAACAACAAACAAAGAAGATCCCCCCCCATATAACCCCACATCTTTCTGAATTAACGAGTTACACAATGGACTTTTAAAGGCCCACTGTCAACATTTCCCTCCTCCCCATTTAAAATTTGGTAAGAGCCTGTTTTTAAAAAACTCAAGAACATTAGAAAAATATTTCTACAATTACAAAACAAAATCCGATGCAAAAAGTTGCTTTTCAACAGTGTTTGCAACCCAAACTTTGCAGCACTATGCAATGGAAATCAACTGTCTCTTGCTTTAGGCTACAGTCAAGTTCCCATACCCCGATCCTGTAATTTCGGTCTGCATGAGTAAGCCCCTGTAAAACCCACAGGGTGATGGTGCAGTGAGTCCCTCTCTACGCTCTGCTGAGGATGGGAACCTCTTATAGCGGCCCAGCAGAAGCAACTCGGCATTTTAGCTCCAGAGGGTCCGTTTCAATCCCAGGTGTGCTGGGGTTGCTGTCACACTGGGCCCAACTGCAGGAGGGTCCTATGCAGGCAGCTTTGACTGCTGATCAGAGCTGGAAAATGCAACTGACTATGGTGACATGACATTGGTTCCCGTTGTCCGCAACTTGGCCGAAGAACATAAATAACGAGTTCTCTGTGTTTTGAAAAAGTCTCGTCAGCTCCTACGGGGTTAGTGGAACACAGGGCGCTAGTTTATTTACAACATATTACCTTGGAGCTCAGTGGGTGCCTTGTGAAGATAAATGCAATCCCTGTCCCTGTTTTGACACTATTCTCACTCTTGTGCCGCTTGCTGTAATGACATTTGCGGCCGGTCGGCCTCGGCCGTCAATATTCACTGAGCACCTGAGATGTCAAGCTTGGGAGAAAGTGACTAACCAGCACTGGGTTGGGTTGGAATCTCCATCCCTGGAGGTTTTGAAGGCCCGGCTTGGCAAACCCTGGGTGGATGACTGAGTTGGGGTTGGCCCTGCTTTGGGCAGGGAGCTGGACTCGATGACTCCTGAGGTCTCTGCCAGTCCTAGATTCTAACCAGACTTTGCCCTTGCTCTGTTGCTGTTTCCAGCAGCGGATCGAATTGCTTTAGGTAAGTGGCCCAGCGTCATGAGGCCTGTTTGATAGAGGGAGAAGCCGAGGGAGGCAGAGGGGGAAAGACTTGTCCAAGGTTGTGGAGTGGCACTGCTGAGAACAAAACCTCCTCTCTGAACTGCCTGCCCTGTGCTTGATTCACTACACTGGTCGGCATCTACATCCTGCACAGGGTGTTAGCTCACTGGACACTGATACTGGACGGTTAGTTTCCAAAACGAAGTGCATTTCCTGTTTCTAAATGGCTAATGAAACGACGGTGTCTCCTAGCAGAGCCTGTGATCACTGCGGACCACTTTAAAAGCAGCTGCCACATTTCTTAGTCCCCACTAACGTCCCTTCTCCTTTCAGTCCCAGCACGCGAAGTCCACACACACCTCCCAAAAGCCTCCTCCCCGTTTGACTCTTGGGTGCAGGGCCGGCGCCCCCAGATAGAAGCACTCAGCTGAGATCAGACATACCCTGCTGCAAAATGCACGGGATGTTATCAAAGAGCGGCATCCTTCCATCCCGGCTTGTGATTCTCACACCAAAAATAGGGCAGCCACCTCTCTGGAGCCCGGGAATGTGATGTTTGCTATGAAGACGAGTGGAGGAGAGCCATGAAAGACTCTGAAGGACTCAAGAAAACACAGCTAGACAGCCCCTTTGCACCTCCACTGCCTGTAGGGTCTAGCAGCGTGGGTGCCCCCTGTTCGTGTTTGCCTGCGGGAGTTTTCATCGCATGCGTCAGGAGGCATTCAACAGCCCCAGTATCTATGCTGCAGAAAGGTTCCGTGCATGCAGACCACGAAACTCTCTCTGCCTCACCTCTGTCATGCCACCAGCAAGGAAGAGCAGGCTGGTGGCTCAGGAGCTCGCACGCCACTTTGGACTCGGCGCCCTGGAAATAGTACCGGAGGGATATGCTGTTGGGAAGAGTCCAGACCCGGTCACGTTGGGAGGGGAGCCCACCTCCACCCAGTCCGGCCCCCTTCCCGCCACTACCGACAACCTATGACAGTCCCGTCCGTTTCAAAGGACAAAAGGCATTCTCCTAACATGGATCACTACGGTAAAAAACAACAAAAGAGCGATACAGCGTTTCTCCTGCATGGTCCACACGCAGCGTTCACGGTATAGACACAGCCGCAGTCAGCTGGGCTCTGTACAGTGCAAGGCAACGAAGGGGCCGGCTACATGGCAGACTTCAGCTCCCATTCCTGAAGGAGAAGGACGGAGAAAGGCCAGTGACTCCCCCCCCCTGGGGCCCGCGCCCCTCTCCCCAGCCCGGGGGACGTCCCTCGGTACCTTTCTCTTCTGCAGAACCTTCCCCTTTTCAATGACCACCACGGAGGGGACGCGCCGCAGCGCGCTCTTGGTGGAGGTGGTGCGCTTCAGCAGCGGTGTCAGGAAGGAAGCCTGCGGAGAAGAGAGGTGGATGTGGGACCCCTGACCCTCACTGCCTCGCCCGCAGAGACTCTAGGGCCGGGCCTGCTCGGTCTCTGGTCAGACATCTCCCCGCCGCACCTCCCTGCTTTGCCTCAAGCACACTTTATCTCAGGGCCAGTCCTCAAATCCTCCGAGCAGGCCAGCAGGCACCCCCTCTGGCAGGGCTCCAGGGGAGGGGGCAGGGTCTCTGCTTTTTAGCCTGTGCACAACAGCCCCCAGGGGTCCTCCTGCCCCTCCTGGGCAATTTAAAACCCCCTTGGGGCCCCGGCTGCCACCGCCACTAGCGCCCCGGCACGTCCCTGTGGCCCTGGGTGGTGTGTGCACCTTCCACCAGATGGTTCAACGCAGCCGCCCCGGGCCCCACACTTTGGGGCCCCTCCACCCTTCCTCTGGATGGGATGGCCCC